CCCCCCCCAGCCCAGACCCCGCTCTCAGGCTGCGTCTCACCAGCCACCATTGGTAGGTGTCGTCCTCCAGGAGCGCGTTCTGGGCAGTCAGCAGCGGCTGCACCGTCTGGTTGAACCTCTCGTCGAACCAGGCCGAGAGCTTGCGCTGCCCGATGCAGTGGGTGCAGGTGCAGGGCCTCGGCCTGATCAGCCTCCTCAGGTTCTCGGAGAGCTCCAGGACCATCTGCTTGGGGAACCAGGTGGGGGCCACCATGGTGTGGGAGTAGTTCAGGAAGAAGGAGGTGAGGAAGATGAAGAGCACGAGGAAGGTGAGCACTTTCAGGGTCCTCTTCCGCAGGGTCACCATCCTCGCTGTCCTGGTGGCGGCCTCCCTGCGATGGACGGGAGGAACTCCCTCCTAAGAGAGGAGAAATACGGCAGAAAAATCCCAGAGGTGGAGGCTCGATCAGAAGGGATGGCAGGAATTCCAAGGGAGGACTCAAGGGCCGTAAAACTCAACTTCACTCCCACTGGGGGACGACCCCCAGAGTGTCCCAGACACCACTGTGTAGCAGATGAAGGCCATTAGTGGCGTGTTGGCTTTGCTTGCATCTATTTCCCTTTTCAGAAAATAAAGTAGCCTATTCTTCTGCAATCCTTCAAGAGCTGATAATGTCTCCTGATAAAGCTTTACCCAGTGATTTCCTTTCCCATTCAAAGAAGCTAAGGGGTAATTAATCTCTGTGACAGTCCAGGGTCCCTCAGGAGCGGGGACCTCGAAGGAAGGGTCTTGGTATAGCAGGGCCAGAAGCTGTCTCTGCCGTCCTCCTCCAACTGTGGTTTCTGATGATCCTTAATTAGGGCTTTGTCTTTCCCATGCTGTTGCAAGAGACATGGCGGTTACACGGCCAGCTTGATGAAGACACAGAAGGTTGTCTGTCATCTGCAGAGAAAAGGAGGAAGAAAACAGAGTGAGATTCTGTGATCCCGCTATAAAAATGTTTCTCTCCACATCTCCACCAGGATGCATTCTGTGGTCTTCCTTCTGGTGTCATGCCAACCTGGCAGGCAGCTCTGGATGGTTTATCTACTTTCGTGAGCCTGAGTGCATGCATACAATGGATGTTATCATCTCTTTGCAAGGTTACTATGGGGTGCAGAAGGCGTCCGCTCCATGTTTCCAACAACCAGAACCTAGCACATTGACACACTCAACAAACATTTGTCAAATGAGCTCATGACGCATGTAGGTACAATACACACAGGGATTGTTCAATGCATATGACTTGCCTTTCTTTCTCCTTCATTCTCTTCCAGATTTTGGATTTCAGCAACAAGCACAACAATGGTATGCTTACAGAGTGGCCCCAGTTTCCTCCGACCTGGACATTCAAGCTCTGCCGACTGGCCTCAGTTCCATAGAAGGGGCTTTAGACCAGGTTCAAGTTCTGATTTCCCAGATGTGGAGGCTTGGGAAGGTTATTCAACCTTCCTGCCTCTCAATTTCTCCTTCTGTAAAATGAGATACTAACACCCTACTTACAGAATGGTTATAAAAATGAGATACAATGATGTATGCTGGGCTTCTGGTGTTTATTAGGCCATTGCTAAATTTTAATTCCTTCTTCAACATATGAATGAATCAATATTCTTTGGTGGTCCACTGAGAGCTGACAGGATACCTAGCTCCTCAGATAAACCTCAGAAGACACTGCCAGCTAGACACTAGTTTCTGGTTTTGTCTTGGAAGAAATCGAGACTCAAAGAGGTTAGATGGTTTGCCTAAGAAAAGGAAGAAGCAGGATCTCAGTCCAAATCTACAGTCCTCTGATTCCTTGCATCTGGAGGGGTTGGAGGACCAGGAACAGGGCTGAGGGGCTCTGCCCTGGAGTTGACACCTGTCGTGTTAATTGGTCTTCAGATTACTATGGCTGGAGGGATACAGAGCAAGGGGTGAGTATTCTTTTGAAGAAAGCAAACGTGTACTTCTCAAATGCCCATTAGAGACCACCCCACGCCCCGGATCTCACTGACACCTTGGGATTTCTGTCTGGTACAACTGCGGTTACGCCTCTGCACTGGAGCACAGCCTCTTTGGTCTTTGCTTGGAATGCTGGAATTGTTCCCCCACCTCTGTTTGTCTGATCAATTCTTCCCCATCCTCAAGGTATAGATAGTCAACAGCAGGGTATTTGTTTTCCAGGAAAATTAAAGTTGAAGGGAGATTGATCACCTTTTGGTAAAAAGGGGGCAGCTCAAAAACCATATTAAATCCACAGTGTCTATCTGGAACCACCCAGGGCTCAAGATATGTTGGGTGCAACCTACCACTTCCTGAACTAGAAGCCCAACATGTGGAGGATAAGTCTGAGCTCAAAACCAGATTAAATCCACAGTGACTTTCTGGAGACATCTAGCTCAGGATGCATGGGGTGCAGCCCCCTGCTGCTTCCCAAACTAGACGCCCAATGTATGGAGGATGAGGTCTGAGCTCCGCAGCTCAGTTGGCAATGTCATTTTTATCTGGCCTCTGCTCCATTTTTCACTTTTCATGACATCCTAGATTTTGTTTATAACCTAGTGGTGTCTATAGCGTCCCATCCAATTCTCTCCCCGCCTGCCCCCATCAACGAGCAGCTCTGTAATTAGAGTAAGAATAACTTCTGTATCATCTCAGGTAGGCTCTCAGTTCACTTGACTGGCGGAGGGTTCCCACCTCTTACTTACCCCGGTACTTGATCCCGGGTTGGGCATATGCCTTAAATCATCCAGTCAAACTTTGGTAGGGAGGGAAGAAACTTTCTCTTGCTCTGGCTGGCTTGTTGTTCACATGTGGAATATCCTGCTGGCTATGTTGCTAGCTTGTGTAGAAGAGACTAGAGCGGATCAGCCCAAACAAATGCTGCGAAAGCCCTGATCCAGTTCGACCTGCAGCCCCTGTCCCCTCCACATCTTGACTTTTCAGTAACATGAGAGAATAAATCCCCCGTATGGAGTAAAGCAGATAATTTGTACCTTGAAGCAACATGAGTGGCCCACAGGTCATAGTTGCTCCTACCTCTGTGCCCCAGCTCAGGCTGTCCCCACTGTCCAGAAAACCACTCCACCCTGCTTGGCCGATGGCTCTTACTCATTCTCTAGGGCTCAGCTGGTGCTACCTCCTGGAGGAAGCCTTGCCCACTCCTGGGGCGAGTTAGGGGTCCTGGCTCCCCGATGTCCTGGCTGTACTCTCTCTTCACTCTTCACTCATCTTTCTCCTCCCTGGACTGGGAACAAGGTGAGGATGGAAGCTCAGCCTCACTATGGTGGTGGCCCTGTTACCTGTGCACACACTCACTGCTCAGTGGAGGCGTGGGGCATGAAGGGACCCAGAAATGAATGAAGGGAAACACGACGGCCGGCAGTTCAGAGGGAGATCTGAGCAAGCACAGACTCCAAGTCAGAAGATTTTGATTCTCAGCAGCCTGTCCCACTCCGCTCGCTGTGTGACCATGAACAAGTCACCTAGCCCTTCAGAACCATCCCTTCAATGGGAAACTGGGATTGATAACACAGATTCTGCTCTTTCCTCAGGGCCGTCAGCCCACCGAGGTGTGTCCGTTCATCTCATTCACTGACTGCACATTTGCTGGTCCTTGCGATCTCCGGGCCCTGGACAAGGTGGCTGGGGTACCTCGTAAAAGGATCTAAGGTAGAGGCCTCCCAGGCATCAATAGAGCCCCAGACCCTTTGGAAGAAAGGAGGTCAGTATGGAAGGATCAGACACAGGGTGGAGGAAAGGAGTGGGTGGGGGTGAGAGGGAATCTGGGCATGCAGCTAGGGTGAGAGTGCGTTGGGCCGGAGAAGTCACAGCCGAGACTAAGTTTTCTCTGGGTGACATGGAAACCCGGTGGTGGGGCTGAGCAGAGGAGGGCCATAGTCTTACTACATTTGCCTTTATAATGAGCAGGGCCTAGGACACCCATGCCCTTAGTGCCTCTGTGCCCTTAATGCCAGGGCAGAGATGAGCTCTCTGAAATAGACGACTGTTTTGTTTTGTTTCGTTTTTGAGATGGAGTTTCACTCTGGTCGCCCAGGCTAGAGTACAGTGGCATGATCTCGGCTCACTGCAACCTCCGTCTCCAGGGTTTAAGCGATTCTCCTGCCTCAGCCTCCTGAGTAGCTGGGATTACAAGCAACCACCACCATGCCTGCTAATTTTTGTATTTTTAGTAGAGACAGGGTTTTGCCACGTTGGTCAGACTTGTCTCAAACACCTAACCTAGGTGATCCCGAGGCCCACCTCAGCCTCACAAAGTGCTAGGATTACAGGCGTAAGCCACCGCACTAGGCCTGATATAGATGACTATTGAATCGTGTTGACCAAACGAGGCCCTGGTTGAGAGGTCAGTTTCCCTACAATGTCCTGCCTCTGCGTGAGAGATATTAACACTGTAGGCTGATGCCAGGGGTTGGGTGAGAGGTGGGGCAGCCAGCAAGGTTGTGCTGTACAGGCTGTGGGACTGTTGACAGCCTCCTCCCCTCTGGGGCATCCTGCAGCCACACCTCCAAGGCCAGGGCACTCCCCACAACCAGCAGAGGCTTCTGAGCTGATATCATTTAGCGCTTTCCGAAGCCCTGGATAAAACTGCAGTGGAAAAGCAAAATCACCGCTCCACCCTTTTCCCGGCTCCAGGGAAGAAACGAGGACTGCATGTCTTCTCTGTGCTCTAGCAAGTGTGGGGCAGCCTGCAGGCATGGGGGAATGCCAGCTCTGGCTCCCAGAAATGAAACCTGGGCCAACACGCCACGGACCAAAGATCTCTGCATGCCAAGTGTGCGGTGGGGGAGGCCTGGCCTCCCAGAACAAGGAGAAAGAAGAGAGGGAGCAGGGAAGGGTAGGGAAGGAGGGAGGCTGGCTCCTTGTCCTGTACCGAATGGCAGTCATTTCCCACCCACATACTCAGTACGAGGAGGCATGAAGCATCTGTACACGACAGAGCTTAGCAGTGTCACCAGCAAAAAGTGACAAGTGTCAGCACCCTTTTGAGGACCAGAAAGTAAGAATTTCCCTAACAAGTGTTCCTAATGAAGATAAACTTCCCTGACAGTGGGGAGTTGAGGAGCAATGACCAGAGACTGAGAGAACTGTGTGAAATTCCTAGAAAACCAAATGAGTGAACCACACAGGGTTTTGAGCCTGTAGTAAATGCCTGCTGAACGGGATGGTAGTAAACATGCATCACAGGCTGGGATGCCCTCCCAGCCCTTCACACAGCCCCTGGAACTATGATCACCAGCGAAATGCCTGAGCGAACCTTGCAGGCTGTTGGCAAAGTTGATGCTTTCAATACAGAGCAGCCACGACTTTCCCCCATGTGATCCCCAAGTCCCCAGGCAAGGTGGGTAACCCTTAGGCTTGTCTCCCTGAAATAAAAAAACTAATATCCAGAGAAGGCAAGTGACTTATCCATCGTCACACAGACGGTGGCAAAGCCACCTATTTCCTTTCTCATAACTTCTCTGGACTTGGTTTACTGTCATTTTTACAGCTTCTTATGTTGGATACTATCTTCTATACCTTCTTGCTATACCTTCTCTATTTGAATTATGCATGAAGTTCTTCATTTCGGTGGTGTCTTTTAGTTCCAGAATTTCCACCTAATTTTTTGACAGGTTCTACTTTGCTGGTGAATTTCTCCATTTTGTTGTCTATCTCTGTGCAATTACTCAGCACAGCCACCTTAAAGCCCGCATTGGAAATCCTGTGATACTTGGAAAATGTGGGTCTACTTCTATTGTCTATTTTCTCAGCTGCTCTCTTTCTTTGGTTATTTGGTTCTGCCCTTGGCAGGCCTGGTTGCTGTGCATACTGTGTATGACAAAAATGCAGAGGCTCTGGATGAGGCTGTCCTCCTTCAGAGAGGACTGGCTGTCTTCTGATGAGCAGGTACAGAAGAGGCA